ACATTTTGTTTATCTGTTCACCATTTTATGGATATTGGGTTTGTTTTTAGTCTTTAGCTATTAATAATATTGCTGTAGACATTCACATGCAAGCGTTTGTGGGGACACATGTTTACATTTTTCGTGAGTTCGATTTGTAGACTTGTTGCGTTATATGGTAAGTTTATGTTTAACTTTTTAAAAAACTGCCACTGTTTTTCAAAGTGGATGTACTATTTAACATTACCACCAGCAATGTATGAGGCTCACATTTCTCCACTTCCTTGTCAGTACTTGGAATTGTCTGTTTTTTTGATTATTGTCATTCTGATGGGTGTGAAATGGTTTAAATTTGCAATTCTCTAATGATTGACGGTGTTAAGTATTTTTTTCATGTGCTTGTTGGCATTTGTGCATGTATTTTCTTTGGTGATATGTCTGTTTTGATCTTTCGTTCATTTTTAAAATTGTTTTACGAGTTGTTTAGATATTCTGGATACAAGTCTTTTTTATCAGGTAATATGATTTGCAGGTATCTCCCTCACCCATGACTATTTTGTTTTTCTTTATGGTGTCTTTTGAAGCAAATTTTTTTTTGGTAAAATTGTTTTTAGAGAGATGGGGTGGGGAGAGAGAGACATCAATTTGTTGTTCCACTTATTTATGCATTCATTGGTTGGGTCTTATTCCTTCCTAATGACTGACATTGTAGATACTCAAATATTTATGTAATGAATTAATAGTTTCTTATTGTTTCTTTTATCACTGTTATCTGCCTTATGCTTACTTTTACTGTCTTCACTGTTAGCAACATTTTAAAAGCTTAGATTATATTCATTTTCACTCATTGAATTGGAAATAAATAATTTCATCAGCTTTTTAAATATGTCCATCTTATACATTTATTTAGTCTTAACTAGTCAATTTAGTCTTAAGTCAGGTGGCAAGTAGTTATTCACAAACCAAGCATCTACATCTGGGACATTATCCCTCTGGATACGAATATAGTGCCACTCTTTTTTTTTTTTTTTTTTTTAAGATTTTATTTATCTGCATGATGTTGCAGAAGTGAAGGGAACCAGGTTTGCTAAAGTAATTGTGGTGATAGAAATGTATTGACCTCAGAAGCTACTGAGGTCCATTCTATCCTAGGATGGTGTTAAAAAAAAAGATTTTATTTATTTTTAGAGAGAGGGTAAAGGAGGGAGAAAGAGAAACAGCGATTGGTTGCCTCTCTCACGCATCCAGCTGGGGACCTGGCCTGCAAGCCAGGCATGTGCCCTGACCCGGAATCCAATCAGCATCCTTTCAGTTCGTAGGCTGGCACTCAGTCCACTGAGCCACACCAGCCAGGCTAGCATCACTCTTTCTTTAATGATATTCTTTACTCTGATGAGAAGTCCACTTTGAGTACATCTAAAATATTGTATCTGTCTTTAAAACATGTTTCTTGTTTCATCTTCCAGTCATCAAGTCAATCAATTTCTAAACCTGTTATATGTGTTCTTTTAATGGTTGTGAGGATCAGTTGAGTTATTCCTGATATTGATAGCATAAGCAATTTTTATATCATCTTTCAAGCCCTACTGGTATTATGTGCTATTCTGTAGTTTTTATGATAGGTGATTTTATTCTCTTTTTTTTTTTTTTTTTTTACCCTTTGTATAATTGGGTGGCATAACACTGTACATTCATGTCTCATATGTATTACCTTTTTGGCTGGGGATATAATTTGCTTTACCAGTCACATTCTTTCAGAATTCAAGGGATTTTTCAGTGGAGTAGAAGGTGGTAAGTCAAAGTGATTTGCTTATATGTGTGTCTCAACCAATGAGGGCTCCATAATCCTGATGCGAGTGGTTTGTGCTTAACGTAATTTCTAAAGCTTTCTTTTATTTGAATGATTTCCTCTTCTTTCTCATATTTTATCTCTTAGTACATAAACATAAACTTATACTTTATAAAGATGCCTTGTGTGGTAACTGAGTGATTTGTTTTTGTTAAGTAATAACAATTCCATTCCTTTGGGTTGGCTCTTTGTTTTCTGTGTTTTGTTTTCTTTTAGCATATGCACCTTCTCCATGTTTCAGTATCTGTGCCACTGAAGCGAGCACTCTTCTCCATTTTTCTTCACCATTTTGGGGGCACTTCCTTAGTGTGTCATCTTCACTCATCATTGATTTAATTTTTTTACACTATCATGTAGCTTTTTCTGTTCTCACAGTGCACAGCCTTAATTTTTTGTGTGAAGTAGCACCATGAATTTTACTGTATAGAGCTTTTTTTTAATATACCTTTTGGTGTATCCACCTTTTTACTTATAGCTCTTCTTCACAGACTGCCCACAATTTATAATATAGTACAGTGTTTTTAATTAAAGCCCACCTCTGAATTTTAGAATGAGCAAGGGAGGAAAAAACCCAAAGCACAGCACTTATCACATGGTGTCACTTTGTCTTGTTTAGATTTGGAGTTAACTTTGGGTATACTCAAGACCCTTCTTCAGCAGGCATACTTCCACAGATACAGCCTCCGTAGCACCAGTGGTGTCTTTATTTTTTTGGTTCTTTGATACCGAACTGGGGATGTTTAGTTTGGAAAAACAAAGGTGTCTTTTTTTTCTTTAATATATTTTATTGATTATGCTATTACAGTTGTCCCATTTCCCCCTCTTCACTGTCCTCCATCCTGTACACCCTCTCCCACCCATATCCCCTCCTTTAGTCATGTCCATGTGTCATACTTACAAGTTCTTCAGCTTCTACATTTCCCATACTGTTCTTACCCTCTCCCTATCTATTTTCAACCTACAATCTATGCTACTTATTCTCTGTACCTTTTCCCCCTCTCTCTTCCTCCCACCCCCCTGTTCCTAACCCTCCATGGGATCTCCATTTCTGTGGTTCTGTTCCTGTTCTAGTTGTTTGCTTAGTTTCTTTTGGTTTTGCTTTAGGTGTGGTTGTTAAGAATTGTGAGTTTGCTGTCCTTTTACTATACATGTTTTTTCTTTATCATCTTTTCTTAGATAAGTCACTTTAACATTTCATAAAATAAGGGCTTGGTGATGATGAACTCCTTGAACTTGACTTTATCTGAGAAGCACTTTATCTGTCCTTCCATTCTAAATGAAAGCTTTGCTGGATAGAGTAATCTGGGATATAGGTCCTTGTCTTTCATGACTTAGAATACTGCTTTCTAGCCCCTTCTTGCCTGCAAGGTCTCTTTTGAGAAATCAGCTGACAGTCTGATGGGAACTCCTTTGTAGGTTACTGTCCCCTTATCTCTTGCTGCTTCTGGGATTCTCTCCTTCATTTTTACATTGGCTAATGTAATGATGATGTGCCTTGGTGTGTTCCTTCTTGGGTCCAACTTCTCTGGGGCTCTCTGAGCTTCCTGGACTTCCTGGAAGTCTATTTCCTTTGCCAGAATGGGGAAGTTCTCCTTTATTATTTGTTCAAATAACTTTTCCACTTGTTGTTTTTCCTCTTCCCCTTCTGGTACCCCTATAATTTGGATGTTGGAACGTTTAAGGATGTCCTGGAGGTTCCTAAGCTTCTCCTCATTTTTTTGAATTCTTATTTCTCTACTCTTTCCTGTTTGGTTGTTTTTTTCTTCCTTCTGATCCACTCTGTTGTTTTGAGTTCCAGTTTCCTTCCCATCATTATTGGTTCTCCGTGCATCTTCCTTCATCTCTTTTATGGTAACCTGCATTTTTTTCATCTAATTTGCGCCCCAAATCAACCAATTCTGTGAGCTTCCTGATCACCAGTGTTTTGAACTGTGCATCTGATAGATTGGCTATCTCTTGGTCACTCAAAAGGATGAGTCCTGGGGCATTGATCTGTTCTTCTGTTTGAGATGCGTGTGTGTGTCTCTCTCTCTCTTTTTTTGGTCTGGTCGTTCCTGTTACGGGGAGTGGTGGAGCCTTAGGTGTTCACCGGGACTGGGCACCCCAGTCGCTAGATTGTGACGTTGTATGTGGGGGTGGGGGGCAGGAGGGAACAATGGTGGTAGCTCCATTCTCCTGGGACCTCAGTCCCTCCTCTGGGATCCTGGGTTGTGCACTCTGCCCTGGTCCACAATTGCCGCCTCACTGTGTCCGCCAGCTGCCGCTTGTGTACTCAGGGTCCACCCGCTGGGATCTTGCCTGCCCCAGATGCCTTACGCGCTCCCTCCTGGTTGCCATATGCACCCAGTTCTCCCTGTTCTCTGAGCGGTGACCTGCACCCGGCTGCTCCTCTCCGCCCCTCTTACCGGTCTGGATGAATAGGTCTACTTCAACTTCTTGGCTGTCCGACTTCCATTCAGATAAATTCTCTGTCAGTGCTGGGTGTTATTCTGCCTCTAAATTGTTGTTGTTCTAATCTTGGTTGTGTGCGGAGGTACCGTGCATCCACCTATGCCTCCATCTTGCGGGAAGTCCCAAAGGTGTCTTTTTTTAAACTCTGCTGCTAACTCACAGTTGGAACCTGTTAACCACTGCCAAAAAGTTTTGGCAAAATGAAAGTTGAATATAAGATGACTCCTGCTTTTATCATTTTTAGGTGAAACTGCCTGCTGAAAATCTTACCTTTTGGCTTATGTATAGTGTTATATTTTTGAGAGAGATCTGAGTTTGGCAAAATAAAAAATTAGGTATCAATATTGATCATTCATCTTTGTATAATGTGTTTTTAGATTTTTTTTTCTTATGCATTTCTGTGTAGGTTTATTCTTGGTCATTTGTATGAAATGTCTATGTTTTATCTTCTATTATATTTCTATGTTTTAATAACTAAAACATAGAAACCTGTTCAAATAGCATCTGGTAAAGTTTATTGCACTATAGTATGCTGGTAGAGAGAGGCATATCATTTGCTGCTGTTATTAGCAAATCCCTAGTAACTTAAGAAATACAACAAACTAGCTTGAAATCTACACCAATAATGGATTTTATTATAATAACTATTATAATAGATGGGTTTTTAAAATACCATCTTAATTTGTTTTCTTTTTTGGTTCTTCCATTTATTTTTGTCCAGATGATAGAAAATAACTTTTGGTTGAAGAAGATAGAAATTAGTGTTTCAGAAGCAGAAAAGCGAACTGGAAGAAACGCCATGAATATGCAGGAAACGTATACTGCTTACCTCATTGAAACAAGGTGAGTGATGAGAATTAGGCCCAGGTTTAGATAGAAAAAACTTTGGTAGATATTGGTGTAAATTCTGTTGTATGACAGAATTGTTTACAAGTCATTGTCTTTTTAGGGATTCTGTGTGTTTGTGTTTTTACTTTTTAACAGGCAAAGTAAACTGTGTCTTTCATTATGGTACTCCTAGTAACTGTATTCTAATGTACTTGTTTTGGGGGGAGCAGGAAGGTTAGTGAAATACTTTTGTTATCTAGAATATTACTTGACAGTTGCTTTGGTAGAGTTCTTGGTGTTAGATACCACTCATGTGCCCCTGAGGTAAATGGAGTTGTTCGCAAAGTCTAGGAGGAAAGAAAACAGTCAGGGTTTAGAAGAGTTGGGAGTTACAGAGAAGGTAACAGAAAAAATGGATTGAGACTGGAGCTTTAGACCTTGGGGTAAAATGGAAAAGACAAAGTAAATCATAGAGTAAGAAATCAAAACTCGCCAGAAAAGTTCTTTTATATCAGAAGGAAAAGTTAAAGGAATTAGATTGTTTCGTCTACAGCAAGACAAGGAAAGACTCAATTTATTTTGCCCATTATAAATAGTTTATATAAAGTCTATACTGACTAGTTCTTTTCTTTCTGCAGACTGAGCAGAAATACTTCCAATTAAAACAGATATGAGAGAAATTTTTGATAGCCAGTAAAGTAAAATGATAAAACTATCAGACCTAGTTGATAAAGCGTTATAACCATGTTTTAGTGTGAATACATTTTTAAGAAACAATTTTAAACCCTCCATTTTCTTAGGCTTTACTAAAAGTCACCAAACTTTAGACTTAACCCTGTAACATTTCAAGGCTCTCTCCAGATTTGTGGTTCTACCCAAAATGAAAGTTAAAATCTTACTAAAACTTATTTAATATGCAGACAGTTCTGAAAACCCTCTTTGCAATTATGGTTTCTTTTCTCCACCAAAATAGAGAAAAAAAGAGAAAAAAGACAAAAAAAGGGAAGAAAAAAGAATCTTTCAAAAACGAGAAATTTGTGTGCAATAGAAATTTTAGGAAAGCAGAGAGGTAAGGTGGATCTTTTTAAAATTAGGTCATTTTGTAACAGGCAAAAGAGATTTTTAAGGCGATTAAGAAAAAATCATGGTCCCATGAGAGGGTTCGTGTGCGTGTTTGGTTAAATTAGCCACTTAAAAAAAACATACTTTAGAAATTAGTGTTTTTAAAATTAAAAAGGACCTTTTTAGTATGCCTATTTCTTTACCCAGTCCAGCAATGAAATTAGCTGTTGATTACTTTTACTGGTAGAAGAGTGTCTTGATTAGAATAATTTAGGATAATTTGTAGTTGTTTACTCTTAACTTTGAAATGAATAGAGTATTATAATTTGAGACTGGAGGTTAGAAGAGGCCATACTTAGTGTAGTAGAGCAAGACACTGAATGCATATGTAAGTGGGCCATCAGTAATTGTGTGGTACACAAAAGAAAATGATTATTGAGTTGACTTTCATGATTGTATTTCATTATAAACTGATTTTAAAACTGTTTCTTACACTTTAAAATACATATGAATCACTTGAAGAATTTGTTAAGCTACAGGGTCTTGGGTGGGGTCCAGAAATTCACATTTTTAAACCAGGGCTACAACTGTTTTCAGACAGTTGGTTGGGCTATGGACCATGCTTTTGATTATATTTTAAAGTACAGAGGCTTTACATTCTTTTTTTAACGATTTTATTTATTTATTTTTAGACAGAGAGGAAGGGAGGGAGAAAGAAAAGGAGAGAAACATCAATGTGTGTCCCCTACTGGGGACCTGTCCTGCTACCCAGGCATGTGCCCTGACTGGGAATTGAACCAGCAGCCCTTGGGTTTGCAGGCCAGCACTCAACCATTGAGCCACATCAGCCAGGGCAGCTTTACATTTTTAAGACAGTCAAATTTATGTCTTTTTTTTTCTTTATAATTTGTGTTTTCCCTATTTTAAGAAATTCTTAACCTATCCTATATATAGATACCCTCTTTGAGAATGGCTGTTTTGAATAGACTCTTATAACAACTATACCTCTAAGGTTAATTTACCTTCAACAACTACAGAGCCCTCAAAGTTCTTAATCATGTGGATTCTTTCTTTAATTTAATGTTATGCAGATAATCTTGAATAATATAAATATTATTTCATCTGTTTATTAACTGAAAGTTGAACTTTTATCATATGGCTTACCTACTACTAAGGCTCTTTGGATATAAGTAGGAAACCCGTTTAACAAATTGCCAATAATGTTATAGTTTAGTAGGCTAAAATTGAATAAGGCTAATGTCACTGGCTTTTTAAAATTACTCCACAGACATTTTGTGTTTTCTTGTCATGGAATATGAACCCTTTTTAAAATAGATAAGAATATGTCCTTTTTAGAATAGGTAAGGATGCCTCCATGGCTTAGGAGGTAGTATGATATTACTTAATTCTTCCAGTAATTTGTAAAGTGGCGTTATTGATACTATCTACTTTATTATTTTTTAAAGATTTTATTTATTTATTTTTAGAGGGAAAGAGAGGGAGAAAGAGAGGGAGAGAAACAACAATGTGTCCCCCAAATGGGAACCTGGCCTGCAGCCCAGGCATGTGCCCTGACTGGGAATCCAACTGGTGACCCTTTCTTTGGTTTGCAGGCCAGCACTCAATCCACTGAGCCACAGCAGCCAGGGCCTATCTATTTTATTTTGAGTGTCATATTAAATGTTGCACGTAAAACCAATTATGTGCTATTAAATATTTGTTAGTCAAATGAAAATCTTTTCTATTTATTCATAATATTGAATTGAGATTTTAGCAGTGTCTTGGTCTTCAGCATGAATATTGTTCTCATTGCGTCAGAACTGCAGTTACAAATACTTTTTATTTAATGATATAACAGCTAAGCAGATTTTACTATATTGTAAAATCAGTTATACATTACTTGAATACGTTGAGGCTTTTAGAGTGTCCCTAATATGACTATTTCTCTTGAGTCCAGTAGGTTGCCTATAACAGAAGAATGCAAGAGAAGGAAGGTGGTTGGGAATGAGGGCTTTGGAAGCAAATGGGTCTGAGTGCTATGCCCATAGATTGTTGTGATTGTAGGAGAAGCATATATTGTGCAGCTGCTTCCTCACCTGTAAAATGGGGACAGTAATCCATGCCTCACATGGTTGTTGTAAATAAAATAGTTCATGAAAATTTCTTTACTCAGTGCCTGGTTCATAAGCATTTAGTAAATGGAGTTAGAAAATTTAAAGGGGGTTGTGTGCATGTATTTATATTTAAAAAAAAATTAGCAAGCTCATTCTATTTCTTTTCAGGTCAGTTGAACATATTGATGGTCCGAGTGTCCTAACAGATTCACTGTGGAGGCGATATAGTGAATTTGAGTTGTTGAGAAACTACCTTTTAGTTTACTATCCTCATGTCGTTGTGCCACCTCTACCAGAAAAAAGGGTAAGAAGTGAAATGGCAGTACAGTTACGAAGTATTTAATGTTGAGGCTATTCTTCATGATTGTTTTGTTTACCTAGGCAGAATTTGTTTGGCATAAACTCTCCGCTGACAACATGGACCCGGATTTTGTGGAAAGACGACGAATTGGTTTAGAAAACTTCCTCTTGAGGATTGCTTCACATCCCATCCTTTGTAGAGACAAAATCTTCTATTTGTTTTTAACACAGGTATTTTTCTTTTATTTAGTCTTCTTAAAAATTCATTTGACTTGGGATTTTTAAAATTTTAAATTGTGAAATGCTTGATTTTTTTAGCTTAAAAATATTTTAATCACAGTTGACACACAGTATTAGTTTCGGGGGGACAATGTAGTGATTAGAGATTTATATAACTTATGAAGTGATCACCCTGTTAAGTCTAGTTGGGATGCTTAATCATTTTTTTTTTAAGTTACCTGTGTAGGTAGCTAAAGCTTCTTATTTTTTAAAAAGGTTTTATTTATTTATTTCTAGAGAGAGGGAAAGGTAGGGAGAAAGAGGGAGAGCAACATCTATGTGTGAGAGAAACACCAATTGGTTGCCTCTTGTACAAATCCCAGCCAGGGACCTGGCCGGCAACCCAGGTATGTGCCCTGAGGAATGGAACTGGTGATGGTGATGGTGACCCCTAGCTTTACAGGACAACACTCAACCAACTGAGCCATGCCAGTCAGGGCTGGAATGCTTAGTCTTAAGGATCATTTTGGAGCAGCTTTGTTAATTTGTATGCATTTTGTTTGTTTTAAAGTTGAAAATTATTGGTTACATCATTCTTTTGGCTAACATTTTTATACTGAAAGATACTAAAGACAATGCTTTTTGGTATTACTTAATGATATCAAAGTTAGGCTATAGTTTTTTGAAGCTCAGATTGTAAAATCTTGGGTTCATCTTTTGGAATCTTTTGGAATTTGGATTGAATGTTTAATTTTGAAGTGAAAAAAATTATTTTTTTTAAACCTTTCTCTTTCATCTCCCCTGAAAGAACAACAGAATGATAGTTATTTTCTTTAATTTGAAATATCCTTTATGTTGTTTTATTTTGCAATGATTTCTAAAATTTAATTTTTAGGAAGGTAACTGGAAGGAAACTGTTTATGAAACTGGATTTCAGCTGAAGGTAAGAATACTTGTATGAAATAATTTGCCATGTTCCTTTACAATTGACAGAATAGTGCCATATATTTAGTAGGTACTTGGTATTTATTGAATGAATGAATTTGGAAATGGGCTTTGTATCTAATGATATCATTAGTAGGGTTTTCAAGGAAACACTACAATTTAATTTTGATTTGTGTAATTTTAGTTACTAGTGAGACTATAATGGGCATATTATAGTCTCATTTATGAGACTATAGCCTCATAAACTCATTTATGAGTTTAATAGGAAAGAACATTTTGAAGCAGTAATTTAGATACAAACTGTAGATTTTTCCTACAGTATATTCATATTATACTTCGCATCTCTTTTTTTTTATCCCTTTGTCCTTTTATAACTGCCACTTGCAGTGGTACCCTGGTAATTGCTCACTGTTTATCAGGGATGAAAGACATTTCTGAAGAGTTGAGCTTAGGTTTTCCAATCATAGTAAACTAAATGATGAGCCATCAGTCATGCTCCTTCTTCCTCCTGGGACATAGTGGCCAGTTTTGAGTGGGCATAGGAGTCATTTTGAATTAATTAGCATCTCTTAGTGAAGTTGGCTTATTTAGTTTTTGTACAGCATTTCATATTTAGTCATTAGAATTAGTATTTGGGAATGAAATTGTTACCTAAACAATGAAGAGCATAGTGGTGGTAAGATGGCTACCCTGACTCCACTGTGCTCTCCCTGTTGTCCACCAAAGTAATCTAGCAGTGGTTCTTGCAAATTTTTGAAAGTGTTCATCTCTTGTATAAATTAATTAAGTAGAAAAATCTATAAATCGATATAATACATAACTTGATAAGGGATTCAGATGATAATATAGTAGCAGAAGTTCAGTAGGTCCAAGCAACAAGAACAAAATGCCTTTATCAGTAATTATAAAAATACTCCCTAGAGATTTTATACATTGGTACATGGGTATTTGAAACTTAGCACAAAAAAACTATGAAGAGAAATTTTTTTCTGCACAGATAATATAATCAAGTATTTAATTCTGTTGTAAACTGATTATAATTTTTAAATATTTTGTTGGCAGATGCCCTCAAAAAATGAAATTTTCTTGGCTGTAACATACTACTTTATGGCACTCAGAAAGGATATTAGAATTTTAGTTTATAAAGGGATTTCAAATAACTCTAAACTTTAAAAAATTATATGTATTTTAATAAGGTTTTCTGAGAACTACTGTAAGGTATGGTAGGAGCTAATAAGGAAAAGAGCCAACTAAAATATATTTGTTTTTAGTGACATCTCTTCATATAATAGAACATTTTAAAAAATTTAGTTATTGATTCAGCTATTAGTTTAGTAACTAGTTATCAGTTGTTTGTTCTTAAACCCAGTTTTAGCCATAACTTTGGTAACTTTGAGAAAACTCCCGAATTTCTCCATCCCTGTAGACTATGCTGTGTGCAGAGTGCTTTGAATCTTGTGTGTAGGTACAATTTAAGAGTCCCGACACATCGTATTTGGCTAGCCTTATGATAAAACCTTGGTTTTACTTGCATAAGGCCTTTGAAAAGTAATCATACTTAACATACAATATTAGTAATTTTAAAAGTCAGACTTAACGAAATGGACCAGAAATAAAATGTATGGGAAGAATTTGGAAACCCACTTGTCTTGCTGTATTCCTTATTTTGGTGTGGCTGTTGCTTGTTTTAAGTCCTTCCTTTCATGAAGGAAATGAGATGTTTTTGGACCACCTCAAATACATATGTACGTGCATGAATACATACAAGATATGAGTGTGACACTGTCTACATACATATATATGTATAGTCACCTTTCACTTATTTGGAGGTCATGTATTTGGCAGTTAACAACTAATTTGATCACAGTTGAAAGCTGAGACTTAAACAAAACTGCCTTCTGAAATGTCCAGATGGATGTAAGATGGCTTAGTACTAATAGAAATACTTTAGTCCTTTCAGATAGGACCCACTTCATGTTATTATAATTATTTAAACAAACTTGGCTATCTAATTTCTAGGCTACAAGATATTAGAAGAAAACTTAAAAGGCCTAAAAGTGAGTAATACTACTGGATATAGGCACACTAACAGTGAAAATTGACAGCTGAGTCTCCCAGCAAAGGAGGATAGCGGCAGAATGGGGGCCTTTGGCATGGGTCCAAATCCATGTTGGCGGGGGTCGCCTCCAGGGCTTCACTGGACACCATAGGGTTAAGTATTAGTTGTTTATAGTGGTTACCTTGAGGCCACAAGAAATGGTTGAATTATGCTTGCTGTGTACTCATAATTCAGTGTTTCTTCCTTTTATTTTTAGCTTGCTAGGTTTTTTTTGTTATTTTCACTTTTAAATACAGTGTTTCTCAATTTCTTGAGATTGTTAAAAATACTGAATCCTAGAATTTATCTCATACATATTGATCCACTAGCCAAAAAATTAACAGCCACTGCTACAAGGTGATAGATAAAAATATTTTGGGGAGCCCTGGCTGGTATGGCTCAGTGGATTGAGTGCTGACCTGTGAACCAAAGGGTTGCTGGTTTGATTCCCACTCAGGGCACAGGCTTGGGTTGCAGGCCAGGTCCCCAGTAAGGGGCATGCAATAGGCAACCATACACTGATGTTTCTCTCCGTCTCTTTCTCTCTCCTTTCCCCTCTCTCTAAAAATAAGTAAATAAAAAAATATTTTAGGGGAGATAATTTTAAATGAATGTCAAAAATGGTAAACAAAGAAAAATGTTTTTTAGAACCTGAAGTAGTATCTTATCTGAGTAAAATTGGCATTATAATTGTTTACTCTGTGCTACAAAGCACTGTACTAAAATATACTGGTTTTTTAATTTGTTTGTTTTTACAAAGTGTTGCCTCAGTACCTTTGAGGTTAGTTCAGTATTAGTCTCATTTTTTTAAATGAAGAACCCTGGAAAGTGACTTGCCCAGCGTCACATGGTTGTAAGTGATGGAGTCTGTATCCAAGTCTCGGTCTGACTCAGATCTCTTCTTAATTACCATCCCATATTACCTCTCTTTTCAGTTATTAGTTATATAATTAATGTGTGTAAAAATAGTTGGTAAAGGAAGTGTCGGAAACCTTTTCATTGAAAATGAGATCATTCTGAATCCAACCAAATGTTTATGTTTTCATAAGAATATTTGGCTATTAGGTTGTCATCCTCAAATTGAAATATCAACTCAGTTTTCTTTTTTTCAGATGATTAATTTCTACTTTGGGCCTACTAGATTAATATTATCTGAAATCTTTTTAAAGTAAATGTTATACCCAGCAAGATAATTATAAAAATTTAGTTTCTTTTTATCTGTACTCTGTTCAAAATAAACATGAGCAACAGACCTTTTTATTACTGCTATATATTGGCTTTCCCTTTTTAAAAAATAATTATGTAATAATTTAGTGAATTCAATTCAGAGTTTATCTGTAGAGTAATGAACATAGAAACTAATTACTTTAAAGTAATATTATTTTTTCTCTTTTTTAAATTTATTTATTTTTATATTTTATTGATTATGCTATTACAGTTGTCCCATTTCCCCCCCTTCACTCCCCTCCACCCTGCACACCCCCTCCCACCCACATTCCCCTCCTTTAGTTCATGTCCATGTGTCATAAGTTCTTTAGCTTCTACATTTCCCATACTATTCTTTCCTCCGCCTATTTTCTACCTATTGTCTATGCTACTTATTCTCTATATCTTTTCCCCCTCTCTCCTCCTCCCACTTCCCTGTTGCTAACCCTCCATGTGATCTCCATTTCTGTGGTTCTGTTCCTGTTCTAGTTGTTTGCTTAGTTTGCTTTTGTTTTAGGTATGGTTATTACTAACTGTGAGTTTGATATCTTTTTTTACTGTTCATATTTTTTATCTTCTTTTTCTTAGATAAGTCCCTTTAACATTTCATATAATAAGGGCTTGGTGATGATGAACTCCTTGAACTTGACCTTATCTGAGAAGCACTTTATCAGCTCTTCCATTCTAAATGAAAGCTTTGCTGGATAGAGCAATCTTGGATGTAGGTCCCTGTCTTTCATGACTTGGAATACTTCTTTCCAGCCCCTTCTTGCCTGCAAGGTCTCTTTTGAGAAATCAGCTGACATTCTGATGGGAACTCCTTTGTAGGTAACTGTCCCCTTATCTCTTTGCTGCTTCTAGAATTCTCTCCTTCATTTTTACCCTGGGTAATGTAATGATGATGTGCCTTGGCATGTTCCTCCTTGGGTCCAACCTCTTTGGGACTCTCTGAGCTTCCTGGACTTCCTGGAAGTCTCTTTCCCTTGCCAGATTGGGGAAGTTTTCCTTTATTATTTGTTCAAATAACTTTTCCACTTGTTGTTTTTCCTCTTCCCCTTCTGGTACCCTATAATTTGGATGTTGGAATGTTTAAGGATGTCCTAGAGGTTCCTAAGCCTCTCCTCATTTTTTTGAATTCTTGTTTCTTCATTCTTTTCTGTTTGGTTGTTCCTTTCTTCCTTCTGGTCCCTTCCATTGATTTGAAACCCAGTTTTCTTTCCATTAGTATTGATTCCCTGTGCATTTTCCTTCATTTCTCTTATCGTAGCCTGCATTTGTTCATCTAATTTATGACCAAAGTCCACCAATTCCGTGAGCATCCTGATCACCAGTGCTTTGAACTGTGTATCTGATAAGTTGGCTATCTCTTGGTCGCTTAAAAAAACTGGCTCTGGGGCTTTTAATTCTGTTTGAGCCATCTTTTTAATTTAATTTTTATTTTTTTTCTTTGGTCTGGTTGTACCTGTTACGTATGAGGGGTGGAGCCTTAGGTGTTCACCAGGGCGGGGCACCTCAGTCGCTGGATTGTGACATTGTATGTGGGGGTGAGGTCGAGAGGGAACAATGGCGCCTGCTCCACTCTCTCTAGGACTTGAGTCCCCTTTGCTGCTTCCCACAAGCAAATTGGGTCCTTCTGGTGCTGGCTCCTGGGCGGGTGGGCTTGTGCACTCTCTCGGACTCTGTGGGTTTCCCCAAGGAGCCTTCTGTGAGGCTGAGAGAATCTCTCGACCTCAACTCCCACAGGCATTTTCAATTGGTGCCTTTAGGCTTTGTTTCCCGGCGCTGGGTCCCTGGGTTGCACGGTCTTTGTCGCTGCCCGTTTTCGCTTAGTTCTGCACGCGAATGTGTGGCTGTGGACAGCCAGCTGCCTTGCACCCCTCACTGGGTCTGCTGATTGCCTCCCCACGCCCAGGGTTTGCCACCGGTCCGTCAGCTGCCCCCGCGCTTCTGGGGTCCTCCAACTGTGGTCTGTGCCCTGTGCACCTGTGTCTGCCAGCCACCACTTTTTCCTGCTGGGACCCCTCAACCCCTCTCTGTAGGCCTCCGACTCCGCCCCTCCTTATCTGTCTCAATGAATGGTAGTCAGCCTTCCGTTCAGTTCATTTCTCTCAGTTCTGGTTGTTTTGTTGTTTCTAAATTCTTGTTGTCCTTAGTTTTGGTTGTGCGAGGAGGCACAGTGGGACTACCTGTTGCTTCCATCTTGGCCTAGTAATATTTTAACTCAGTAAGTTACTTACATGAAAGTGTCATTCATATGCCCAAACCTTATATGAATTTAGTCTGACTCAGAAGAATCTGGAACCCTGTCTGTTGTTTGGAGCAGGGACTGCCAGAGATCTTGGCTCTTGGGATCTCTGCTGGTACCTCCTAGTAAAGTAGCTGGAAACATAAACCCCGTGTTCTTATGGAGCATAGATTTTAGTACTTAGAGACATTAAGTTAACATTTAAATGAGATACTTTAAAGTAGTTATAAGTGATATAAAGGCAGTAAGTCATCACTGTGAAAGAGTGTGACAGCAGAGGGTATTTTCCCCAGGGGTTATTTTGAGATAGGTGACAAAATGGGGATACTAAATAAAAGGGGGCACACTATTACCCATTAGATTAGGACAACAGGTGTAAACCAGGAATGTTCTGGGCAAACTGGGTCATGTGGTTGAAGAGATTAATAAAATTTGAGCTGAGACCCAAATAATAAGAGACCTACAGTGGAGTCAGCCTTGGGGGCCAGTGTTAGACAGGCCACGCTGTGTAGTGGTTTACTAGGAAAGGTTGGAGGGAAGATGAAAATCAGGAAATGAAATAAAGAAAAGACCAGGTCCAGGACAAGGAAAGTAAGTACATAATAGGAGTTGGAAAGTGATGGGGAGGTGGGTTTTAAAGGAAAACTTGGGAAAGTTAGTAAGTTGGGGATATAGAATAGTTGTTTTTTGACATTCAGCCAATATTTATTGTATGTTTGTGTTGTGCCAGGCATTGGAGCCATTGGAATACAGCAATGAATAAAGGAGAAAGCAGATCACAGTATTGCCATGGCAGCTGTTTTGCAACTCCAGGGGGCACCATTCACATTGTGATTTTTAAAAAATGGCTCTTCCATTCCAGTGGACAGCTAAGAAACAAACAATTCAAATGAGTGCTGTGTTAAAGGAAATACAATAGGGTTGTATGAAATAATGATGTGAGGGCTTTTTAATTTTATTATTTTAAACATTTTAATTTATTTATTTTAAAAGATTTCATTTATTTACTTTTAGAGAGGGGAAGGGAGTGAGAAAGAAAACATCAGTGTGTGGTTGCCTCTTGTGTGCCCCCTACTGGGGACCTGGCCCGCAACCCAGGCATGTGCCCTGACTAGAAATCAAACCAGCGACCCTTTGGTCTGCAGGCCGGCACTCAATCCACTGAGCTACCCCATCCAGGACTAAACATTGTTTTTAATTATAGTTGACAGACACTATTGTATTATTTTCAGGTATACAACATAGTGATTCAACATTTATATAACTTACAAAGTAATTACTACAGTAAGTCTAGTATCTGTCACTTACACAGTTATTACAGTGTTACTGACTTTATTCCTATACTGTGTATTGCATACACATGACTTATTTTATATCTGGTAGTTAATACTTCTGTAAGGGCTTCTTATAACATGGATGGTAACCTGTCAAATTTGCAGCAGCTCAGGTAGTTTTTTAGAGATCTAGCTTTGGGGAGAAGTTTCTGGTTTGGTGACATTTTAGGCAGCTTCTCTTTTTATGGAATCTTGTGAAATGATGAGCAGATTGAGATGGTTGTGATGGACGTGATCTGACAGTGTTTGGTAAGCAAAGGTTAGTAGGGCGGTGATGTTTACATTTTATATGACTTCTAAATTGGTAAAAAGTAAAAAGTGAATTGGTTGTATTAAGAAGTATGAGATCTAAGAAAAGGTACAAATGAAAATTTTCTTTCTTGCTGATGGTTTTCATGTAATTTCATCCTCATTTTAAAAATCACATTTGCAGGTGACTATGAAGTCATGAACACTTTGTTATTTAGTGATTTTAATTAGCTTAAAGTACATAAGGGAATAATATATGTCTTAAATTTATAAGTGCTTTTATTTGTAAGGACTTTCACATGCTTTATTATTAGCTGGTATGCCCTTGAAATATAAGAAAGGTCATGAATTGGTAAAATACTGATTTTAGAAATACGAGAATCCTCTGAAATCAGTGACAAATTGAGTTTCTTTAGATATTCTTGATAACCCTTTGGAATTCTTTTGGTCTGAAGTTCAGGGAGTCTGAGTTTGTGGAGTAGCATATTTGCTACATTTAAAATTTTTTCTTATCCAAGTAATCTAGGCAGCCCTAGTGTTTTGGTTTTGTTTTAGTATTTTGGGAGTATTTGTAATTATCGGTTGGAAGTTGGACTAATGTAAAATTTTTAAGCTGACTGGGATTTTAAAAACCAAACCACATTATAAAATTGATTCCTGATTGAGCTATCATTTATTGAACCCTATAGTTTCTGTGCTTGGTCAGAAAAGTAATTTTTTTTTAATGAGAATTTAGGATAGGATTTTAGATCTATTGAGTATAAATTCATACGATGAAATTATTATTTAGCGTAGATTCCCTCCGTCTCTCTTTTGAGAGCAGTTACCTGAAAATAAAGAAGGATAGTTTAAAAGTTGTGTTGTCTTGTAACATTTTCTGCCAGCGAGTAAGTAATTTGATGTCATCTAGCTTGTTTTACATTAGTACAGGTGTTTTCATATTTCTTTTCTAAAATACTGATCATGAAAATGAGAAAAACCAGTGTATATTTGGTTTGGATTCCACCTGAGAACTATGCTCAGTAGTGCCCAGTATTTAAAGCAGTAGTTTTATTTAGTTTAACTTATATATACTAAATTTTGCTTTACCTGATTTAGAGAAAAAGTTAACTACTTTTCTCATATGATCTATTCTGAGTTATAATAATGCAGAGCCATATGCCTGTTAGTGTGTTGGTGTTTACAGTTGTTTTACTTCAATATCACTGAATGCCATGTATTCAGTTTACATGATTATAACATCATTTTTGTTGTGTTTAAGCTGTTTTTTTAGGTATGTTGAATGTGTTTGACACAAATGATATGAAGAAAACTGTACTTGAGCATCTTAATTTTAAAGGGAAAATAAAACTGTTTGGATTTATACCCTGAAATGTAATTATATTAAGTGAATAAATTATTTTTTCCAGGCAGACTCCAGGTTAAAAGCGCTTAATGCAACATTCAGAGTGAAAAACCCAGACAAGTAAGGTTTTGTTTTAATAACAGTTACAATGTTGTTTTGAATGGTGCCTGCCTATCAGTCTATTTAATTTTTCATTTCTGAATGTATGCACTTCATTTGCTAAATATTTTAAATAGTAATTCACATACAGTGAAATCCTTTTATAGTCTAAAACTGATTTTAAAAATTTGGTAACTTTATTGGGTTTAAGGTTGAAACTGTCTGAAGTTTTAGAAAATTAAAACTGCTTTTTCCTAGATGAATTTTTAAAATGTTGAAGGTATCAGAAAAGTGAGAAAAGCTATTTTAATTTCATATAAGATAGTTTTTCTCATATGACTTTGCTTGTCAAATATATACAAAGGTCAAACTAAGAAGATTGTCTATTACATGTATATTTTAATAATAAACTTTCTCCTTTGCATACCAAGAAAACTTGATAGATAATGCATACTATTATAATAATTTCATGGAAATGTATTTATATGACAGTTACTTGACTTCATTAATATCAGTTTGGTGTTTGTGGGAGCATTTCCATAGTAAAGGAAGCTAGTGTATTCAGCAATAATTTTCTTAGAATACGACCTAGGTATTTCTTAAGATTTTGGTTTTGCTCATTCTTTGAATTTGGTGGATAAATCAGGCTCTTCAATATATGGACTTTCACCTGGTGTTTGCTTCAGCTGAGTTTTTCGGTTAGAAATTTGCTTAAGTGGATGAGGCTTTTTTATTTTTGGTGACCAAGTTTATGAAAGGTCTGTTAGAACTTCTCTAGTTAGGCCTTCAGCATTAATTTCTATGTAGTGTAAATTCTAGCAGACAAAGGCCAAATATGCATTGTCTGATGACCTATTATTCCTGACTTTGTAAACCATAATAAATTAACATAATACCTTTGGTTTTTAAGATGAATTTTGAATTAAAATTAAATGTTTTAAAGTTTTGTTAATTAGGAAATCGTGATGGTAGCTGTTGAGGTTTTTTTAATCTACTTGATTTCTTAGAGTAGTTATTTTTTCTTTTAATCCTCACTCAAGGACATACTTATTGGTTATAGAGAGAGGGGAAGGGAAGGAGGGAGAAAGAGAGGAAGAGAAACATTGATATGAAAGAGAAACATGGATCAATTATCTCTTACACCCACAACCTAGGTATGTGCCTTGATCGGGAATATAATTTGTGACCTTTCAGTTTATGGGATGATGCTCCAACCAACTGAGTCACACCAGCCAGGACCTAGAGTAGTTTTAGGTCCACAGCAAAATTGGGCAGAAAGTATAGAGCTCCCATATGCCCACTGCCCCTACGTATGAACTCCACCCTACACACCCATATCTTCTCCCAGTCTGTCAACATCCCCACCAGCGTGGTACATTAGTTACCATTGATGAACTTACATTGACACATCATTGTTACCCCAAAGAGCATAGTTTACTTTAGGGTTCACTCTTGGTGTTATATATTTTATGGGTTTTACAAGTGTATACATTATTATAGTATCGTACAAAGTATTTTCACTGCCCTAAAGTCCTCTTTGCCCTGCCTATTTATCCCTGCCACCCCATAGCTCTGGCAGCCCCTGAGCTTTTTACTGACTCCATAGTTTTACCTTTTCTAGAATGTCATATCATATAGTATGTAGCCTTTTCAGATTGGCTTCTTTCACTTTATAATATGCATTTAAGGTTCCACTGAGTCTTTTTAAGGGTTAAATATGATATCCATGGTATATAAGAGATGTTCTTTAGAGTAAGAACTAACATTATGTTATCCTCTGAAAAAAGCTTTGGAATATCTTACAAGCAAAGCTTATGACATTGGTGGGTGTACATTCACTAGAGTATGTTGACTTTTTAAATGAATATTTTAATATTAATATTTTTCAATGGAATGTTTTCCAATTTAATGAAAAATATTTTGTCAACTGAATGTTTGTCTTCCCTTTTCTGACCTAACTAGCTTTTCTAGATAGCTAAATTTCATTTAATACCTGTATTATATACAGTCACATGCCACTTAACAGCGTTTTGGTTAACAACAGACCACAAATACAGTGTTGATCCCCTCAGATTATAATGGACCTGAAAAATTCCTATTGCTTAGTGAAGTTTTAGCTGTCTCAAATGTCTTCACTTGCTTGTTTGTGGTGATGCTGGTGTAAATAAACCTACTGGTCTGCCCACTGTATAAAAAGTACAGCATACACAATTATGTATGGTACATAAAGCTTGATAATGATAATAAACAACTATGTTACTGGTTCATGTATTACCGTACTACTTATTATTTTACAGTGTACTCGTTCTATGTATAAAAACAGTTTGCTGTAAAACTGTATGCCATGTTACACTTATAAGAGCCTCATACACCTCATGCTCACCACATCTGTTGATTGCCTCATTTTCTCTTGTGCTTGATTTAATCTTGTATTTTGTGTAGTAATGTGCTGTACAGCATTGTAGCTTAGGAGCAATAGGCTACACAAGCGATTTTTCACCCATTGTGCTGTGACACACTGGTGCGCTGCAAGAATTTTTAAAACCTGCATTACCTGACTGTTTAGTTAGGGGGACTGACCTCTTTTCCCCTAGATTGTCAAGTTAAAAAAAAAAAAAACAACAGCAACCACAACAACAGTAGCTGTCTAGTGTGAATGCATCAAAATTATACCTATTTTTTTTGTCAGATGGGCAAAAGTATATTTTTTGGTATACTGCAGAATTTTAGTAATTTATTTGTGCCATGAGATTAAAAAGGTTGAAAATCATTAGGCTGTACCATTAAGGTTTGTGTAAGTACATTTTATGATTGCACAATGACAAAATCTCTTAGAACATGTCCCTGTCATTAAGTGGTGTGTGACTGTATAAAATTTTAAATGTGATAACGATGAGTATCATAACCAAGGCAGTTGTTTACTTCTAAGTTCTTGTTAAAGTGTATAGTTACTGTGTAATGAGTAATAGAATTTGACTTAAGTTCTAGATTAGAGAATTATCTACATCAGTTATTGTTAATTCTTAATATACAGAATCTCTGTTCTATATCTAGCTGGCCTAATAGATTAATTATTATTCATGCCATTACTAAAATAGTTTACATCACTAATATACTTTTATTCTGTCCTTTCTTAAAATCTAGAAAACCAGAAAGATTATTTCAGAAGGATTACCAAAATGATACTTGCTTCATGCAGATTTATCTTTCTTAAAACTAGACTGTTAAGAGCTATAAAGAGGAGGACCTTGGGTCTTCTACTTGTATGTGATAATATTTAGGATGTAAACCAAGTGATTAGTAGAATGTGTGGGATGTGGGGGGAGGAAATAAAGATGGCACCCGGGTTTCTTTCCATCTTTAAAATCCTGGGGAACATAGAGGGGAGAGCTTTGGAGAAGTCGGAGAGGATAAGATGAGCTTTGTATATGAGCAAGTACAGATGTCTGCTAGTCAGTTGGCTTTAGAGATCTGGCATTTGAGAGAGTGAGTTGGTAGAGGTAGAAATTTAATTTCAGCATCATGTAGATCATCATTGTGAAGCTTTGTGATTGATAAGTCCCATAGTATATAAAGATTGAAAGATTGATTATAAGATGGAGGAGGACCCAGAACTGAACCCCAAAGAAGTCAACACTATAAAGGTGTTTTCCAAAGTGTAATCTGTAGATTACCGGCATCTGAATCTTGTGGGTGAGCTTTTATAAATTTAGATTCCTGAGTCCCACTGGGGCCTCTGTGTACAGCTGTGGTGGTTATGCACAACTTTTTCTTACTGAGAGGCCCTCAGTAGTGTCTTTTAATGAACACTTAAGGCATTTTTTTAACTCTCACACAAGGATACGTTTATTAATTTGGAGAGAGAGGAAGCCGGGAGAGAGACAGACAGACAGGCATTGACGTAAGGGAGAAACATTGATTGGTTGCCTCTCGTATGAGCCTCAACCAGGGATCAGACCTGCAAACTAGGCATCTGCCCTGCAACCACTGGGCCAGGGCTTGCTTTTTTTTTTAAACCCTCATCCGAGGATGTTTTACTGGTTTTAGAGAGAGAGGAAAGGAGAGAGAAAGAAACATCAGTGTGAGAGAGAAACATTGATTGGTTGCTTTTGGTGTATAGGATGATGCTCCAATCACCTGTGCTACCTGGCCAGGGCGATAAATACTTCAGGCATTCCTGGCATACTAAAGTTGGAGTGTAAGAGATGGGTGAGGGAAGTGAGTACTGCCAGGGAGACTTCAGGTGTGACCAGAGAGTAAAGAGAAAATCATGAGAAGATAACACGGATGTCAAGGGAACAAATTTTGAGGAGGGTGAGGTCAGCTGTTGCATTGCTGGAAGTATCAAGTAAGATGGGGACTAAAGTACATCAGTTGATTTTAGCTACATGCAAATAGTAGGTGACTTTGTTGGGAATGTTTCTCCACTATAGTGCTGGAGGTGAGACTAGATTGTAGTGGGCTGAAGAGTGAATGGGGAGGAAAGAAGTGGTCATTGCTAGAGAGATGATGCCTTGTAAAAGTGTGGCTGTGAAAGGAGTATTTGAGAAGGTGTTAGTATTTGGGTGTGTTGTCAGAAAATGTGCGTGTGTGCTTTAATCTAGGATAGACCCTAAATTAATTGATGTACTAATTAGAAGGATCTTGTAGAGAGAGGAAGTTGGAAAAGAGGAATGTGGAGTTTAGCTGGGATAGAATCTAAAGTATTAGACGGGGAAAAAGGATCCTAGAGGGAGGGAAGAAATGGTGTAATATTGGAAAGTTTCTAAGTTTGCTGCTGGTAGGAGGTGGAGGTAGTTCCTATCTGATGTCTTCTGTTTAATCTTTGAAGCTTGGTGAGAGAGTGACAGATAGTAGTATTAGATAGTAGTATTAGAAGTTTCAGGTCTTAATGAAGAATGATAGTTACTAGATTTGGAAAACAGATTACTGGGCAGCATTAAGATTGAGGTTAGAGACCATGAGTTTATGTCTGTACCATGAGATTTTTTTAACTTCATAAGCTATTTCCAGTTTTTTTGTTTTCAAGTAATTGTTAATACCAAGAAATAGCTATCTCTGTCTTAGTCTCACCACAAATTATGAAGTATGACATCTTTTCTTGGCTTTAAAAATATCAAAAGAAAGTATAGTTGTTTTATTTTAGAATTTTAAAAATTTGTATTGGTGTATAAATGTTCAAAGCCAGCATATGGTTAAATGGAATAATTTTTCTTATTCTCAAGAACTACAGTTGACCCTTGAACAATGAAAGAGTTAGGGTACCAACTGCCACCCCCTGCACAGATGAAAATTCGCATGTAACTTTGACTCCCCCAGTACTTAACTACAAATAGCCTACTGTTGACTGAGAGCCTCACTGATAACATAAACAGTTGATTAACACATATTTTGTACAGTCTATGTATTATATACTGTATTCTTGCAATGAAGTAAGCTAGAGAGAAGTATATACCAAGAAAATCAGAAGGAAGAGAAAATATGTTTTATTTACCCTGTTCATTGAAAATAAGCCCACATATAAGTAGACCTGCACAGCTCAAACCTGCATTGTTCAAGGGATAGCTGTACTGTTTTATCTTTCAGATTTTGATGTTTCTTTCATGAGAAAAATTATGTGTTATTTGTTTTCTGTTTCAGGAGATTCACTGAACTAAAGCACTACAGTGATGAACTTCAGTCAGTCATCTCACATCTTCTTCGAGTCAGAGCGGTAAGTGGTCTCCGAGAATTTTTTGACACATACCTGTAATGAAGTACTGCTCATTTTATCATTATGTTTTTAAGTAATGGGTGTTATTTGTAACGTTTAACTGATTTTTACATTTAGGTTTGGTGTATTTATCATCCAAACTGCATTTAAAAAAAATGTGAAATGTTTTCTGGCATAAACAACTTGAAGAATTTTAGTTTATTGTTTGTATATGGTTGCTGTGACATCTTGTCAAAAGATGTGTTTCAGTGTTGGAAATATAATTTAATAAATGGGATTTTATGTCTACATATGATAATATGTTTTTTTCAAGGTTTGTGAAATAGTTTATATATGTTAGGCCAGCAGTTTTCTACTGGTGTGCCCCAAGAATTTTTAAAACATGCAGTGCCTATTTAGTCAGGGGCACCGACCCTGGGTCGGTCAGGGGCACTCTTTTCTTTCAATTGGCCAAAAAAAAAGACAACAGCCTACAGAACAATAGCCACTGGTGTGAATAAATCAAAATTATTCCTTTTTTTTTTTGTTAGATTGGCCAAAAATATATTTTTTTGGTGTGCTGCAGAATTTTAGTAATTTATGTGTGTCATGAGATGAAAAAGGTTGAAAATCACTATGTTAGGCCATCTAGTGTCTGTGCTGTTAAATTCTGCTAAATAAACTTACTTGACGTAATATTAGGTCTGCCATGACAAAAGGAACAAGAAATCAAGGAATAATCATTATACTTAGCATATAATTTAGCTGTAACAGACATGAAGAAAAATAGTTTTGGGTAAATCAGTGTACCTGGAAAATTGTGTCATCCACTCTGATCCTTTGAGGTAAACCTAGAGGAGACTTAGAACTTGCCTTAAGGCTCGAAAGATGCTGCGTTACCAGGTCGAGGATCACATCTTATGCTGATTGTAGTCTTCCTGAAATGAAATATATTACCTAGGATTTATTTTAATAAAAGAATCTACTGGTAAAGGGTGGAGAGTAGGGACAGTTTTAGGTGAAACTGTATTGGCCATATAATAATTGTTGGTGAGTGTTGGGAAATGGAAAAATATCCTCCTATTTTCTACTTTTTGTATGTTTGAAGATTTCCACAGTAAGTGTAAAAACATTGAAGAGTCCCATGTTGGTCCAGTGTCCCCTTTAACCATTCTGAGTACCTTTGGAGTCCTTAAATAAATTGTAATATACTTTTTAGGAAAAGAAATGGTACCTGTGTGAATTATTAGGCTACAGCCAAGATCTAAGTATTGGAAAGGACTATGGATTAATGAGATACAATTTTTAGATCTTTAGTTGCCTTCAGATTACCCAAACAAATGAGGCAGCAGTTCTTGTGGAAAGTGGAGGTAGAGACAGAAAATCCAGAAGAATGGAAGAATAATTTATACTGCTTTGTCTTCTGTGCCAGAAAACTTGGGGAATTTACTTAAATCCGAGGTCTGGCTGATTATGCAAGCTGTATTCCTTTTAAAAGGCCTTTAACCAAAGGGAAAGGGGACACTGTGGAAAGCTTCATTTAGCAGGAGTACAAACAGTTCTGGGAGTCTTGGGCAGGCAAAGGTAGCTATTAAGCAGTCACATGACTAACCCCAGGTATTGACAGGTTCTTTCATACCCAGAAGAAACTAGGAGACAAAGCAGAAAAACCAGCCAGAATTAGATTTATCAGAAATTTCAGAGATGAGTGGTGAACTGGACAAATTTTAACAGTGAAAAACTCAGAAAATTCACAAAGCACAGTGAATATAAGGGAGACCTAAAGGAGCGAGAAATGGTTGTCATTGTGAGGCTGTGCTGCATATCACGTAGCCTTAAAATATGGATGATTCCTTTCGTAAAACAAGTAAGAAAATTGTCACAAGGCAACATATGAAAGTGATTATATTTGGTTTTCTGCTAGTATTTTAAAGTGTATTTAAAAATGTGATTAAATGCCCTGGCTGGTGTGACTCACCAGCCTGCGAACCAGGGGGTCACTGGTTTGATTCCTGGTCGGGGCACGTGCCTGGGTTGCGGGCTGGGTACCCGGTGGTGGGGGGCGCACGAGAGGCGACATACATTGATGTTTCTCTCCCTCTTAAAAAATGTGATTAATAACCTTTAAAGATCATAACAAAATTTAACTATGATATTAAAGAAAAATTTTAAAGAATGTCCCACACAGCGTTTTTTGTATTTCTTTTTATATTCTCTCTAGACTCCACTGTTAATCCTTTTAACTATTCTCAACCATGCCAAACTGGTTTTTGCCCTAGGACTTTTATTTGTTCTTTCCCATGCCTGTACTGTTATTCCCACCCTAAAAGATCCTCCTTTGGCCTGTTTTCCCTCATTATTCAGTTTTTGGCTCAAATGCCTCTTCACAGAAATCTTTCCTGGGCATCTTATATAAAATAAAATGCAATTTTCTATCATTTCCTGGTCATTTTCTGTCAATGCTGTTGTCTTTATAGCAACACTGTCCAACATTGTATTCTGTACTCATTTGTTAATGATCGATTGTACGTGAGCTCCACAAGAACAGGAGCTTTGCTCTCTCATTGCTAATTCCCTATAATAATGCCTGACTCACAGTAGACACTTACTGCATAGTAATTGGATGAGTAAATGAATGTACAGAGTATATGCTAACAGTAAGTATGTTTAAAAAGATCTGAAAAAGCAGTAAGATAACATTGGTTTTTGAATTTAGTTATAAACTACTAATACAACTGGTTACTACTGTGTATATGACAAGAACCTCTAAAGAAATCAACCTTGTCATCAAAGAGTTTGTAATGCTCAAGTGAGAGAATTCTTAGTATGGAAATTTATCCTCAACTTAATGAATTCAGCTTCAGAAACTATTGATATGAAAGGTAGCTTGAACTCTTCAAAGGAAAGGTAGCACTTGATCTGTGAGTCACATTGAAATTAAATGTCTAAATGAGAGAAATGCCAATGAAAAATACAGAATGCTTTATGATTAGCTAAAATTCTGATTGTTCTAAAATTGGGAGAAAGGCTATTTAGTCATGGACAGTAACACAAAAGTAAAAGTAGGAGGTTAAAGCGCAACACTGACAAGCCTGTAAATAGTGCAGAAAGTACCACGGGAAGGGCCTTTTTGTAACATTCAGAGCATCATGAAAAAGCCTTAATGACTTGTTAACAGATGTGGAAATAGAATTAATTGACTTGTCTTTTCTGTCAAAGATGAGAAAACTAGAAAAGGCAAAAAATAAATTATAGGTAAGTTAAAGAATTAAATCTTTAGGACATCAAAATCGAACAGCCAGAAAGAGCAGATGGTTTTCGACTGGGAGAGTCTAGGTTTGTCATTTACCAGGGCCTTTTGGCAAATCTAGTAACTTTTCAGAGTTTTTTTTTTCTTTGCTGGCAAATGGGAATATCTGCCTGGCATATAGAAGTGCTGAATAAATATTTGTTATATGAATGTGTACCTTATTTATTCATAGAGTTATGAGACTCAAATAAGATCTTTTAGTTTTAGAAACTAAAACAAAAGAAAATAATATTGATATCTAACAGTTATGCACCACTGTATATTATTCTTATCTACTTTCCCCAGTAGGTCTTTGAAGGTAGATACTGTTTATTGTACGCACATTGTAGATTAGGAAACAGGGCAAATGAAGTTGAGTAGTTTGCCTAATACCACAGTGGCAAATAAATGTGTGGAGCCAGAATTTAAACTTTTGTCTGTCTGACTCCAGAACCCATGCTTTTGACCAACTACAAATGCCTGTTGATAAAGAACATGAATAAAAGCAGATTGAGGGAGAAGAGAACTGATTTTCACTGATCAGCTTGCTTATTGCCAAGAACCTTACAAATGTCATCTTATTTAATCCTCATAGTCATATGTTGAAGATTGTTTTCACATTTCACAGAGGAAGGTATAATAGTAAGGCTTGGAGTGGTTTAATATAGTCTCCAAAGTCAAACTCTAAAGCAAGAAGGAAATGGAATTCGAGTTTACATTTGTCTGACTTCAAATCCCTTATTCCTACCACATACACTGCCTTTCTAGGGGAAGTCAAATTTAAAATAGGCGGTGGGGATGGGGTGTTTAACTTTGCTAATACTCTAAAAATACAAATTATAATATTGAGATACTATTTAACATTTAATTTGTAGGTGGTAATATCTAGTGTGAAATTTAGTGATGATGGCAGCATTGAGTATTACATACTGCTCCTTTGGGAACCATTTTGGTAGTATCATGAGTCTAAAATCTTAGTGTTTGGCTTCTCAGGAGATAATTCAAAAGAAAAGAAAAACTGTATGTTTCCAGATTTTCAAAATAAGATCATTTAATAGGATGCCATAAAACTTTGTTCTTTTTAATATCTAATTCCCTGGAGTTTCAGTGAATATAGGGAAGACTTTATTATTTTTTTAAAGATTTTATTTATTTATTTTTAGAGATAGGGGATGGGAGGGAAAAAGGGAGAGAAACATTGATATGGGAGAAATACATCAATTAGTTGCCTCTCACACACCCCCATATGGGGACCTGGTCTGCAACCCAGGCATGTGCCCTGATGGGAAATCGAATTGGCAACCTTTTGGATTACAGACCCACACTCAATCCACTGATCCACATCAGTCAGGGCAAGAAGACATTCTTATCATAAGTACAAATGATTCAGAGCTGGGTAGGATGTTAGGATGAGTTTGTCATATTTCTCCTATTGTTACAGAATCAGCTAGGTGTTAGCTCTTCTCTGTCAATTGTCAGATGATCAATTTTCAAAAGAAAGACTTGGCAAAAAGAAAGAAATTGAAAAGCAGTCTAGACTCAGTCATTGGGTATAGCCCCCTTTTCCTGGCACCAGTATTCTTGATTACTGCCACCCATTGAATTAATCTGGTTTCAGGTTTTAGTAATTTATATTTTATTTTTCTGCCATTTTTGTCTTTCCTTTTCGTCAGATATTATGATTTTTGGTCTAAGTTTATAGTTTTTATTTGCTTCCTCTTCTTTCTCACAG